CAGCCGCCGCCTCTCTTTTATACATAGGGGTTGTCATAGGGGTTGCCTGTTCGTTGCCCTCCTGCGCAGTTTGACGACGAACAAGCTCATCAATCCGCTGTTGGCCACTATCAGTAGCCCCCACGGCCGGGGTCTTTGGTTTTTTAGGCTTTCCATGGCTAGTGTAGCCCGCTTTCAATGTAGCATCTGAGATTTCCATTGCATCTCCGACAGTGGGACCGCCCAGATTTTCTGCAGCGAGCATTGGGGCAAGTGTATCTTCGACAAATTTATAGAGAGAGGTCTTCAGCTCTTCTGTGGTAGTGTCAAGTCTCTCGATATCTTCCTGTTGCTCTTTGACGAGGTCATGCGCAAGCTGCGCAGGGGTTCTCTGGACTTGTCTCGATTTTTCTGCCTTCAGCCGCTCAATCCTTTTCTCCAACCCGTCTTTGATCAGTTGCGCATCGCGCAAATTGGCTTCTTCCGCTTTCAAGCGCTGACGGTCCGCAGACAGTTTCTCCGCCGTCAATGAAATTGAGGTCTTACTCTCCTTGACAAGGCGAGATGCCTCGTCAACCGCAAGTAGAGAAGGCAAAGGCGAGCCTGGACTCGGCAGTCGCGTTTCCGACTGCAGAAGAGCATCATACGCTTTCTTGGCTCTGCGCACGTGGGAGACGCGAGCCCAAGGATCTGCCCCAATTTGAGCGAAATCAATCGTGGTGGTCATGCGTAGCTGTTCCTCTTGTCAGTATTCCTTATTCATGCATGGGGTCTCTTGCGACAGTCGGCTTATATTCTAGGCGCTCGTTGACGTACCTTGCGGAGCTCATCTTCATGACGTTTGACTTGAGCCTGCAGCTCCGCCAACGTCTCATCCAACTTGCGGTTGTAAGCGTCGAAATTAGCTGGGTTTACCGGGTGTTCCTCGTAGAACTCCTCCGCTTTTTGGCGCTGTTGCGCGAAATGTTGGATTTTATCGACGGTTTCTTGGGAGATATCCATAGTGGTGTTATTTATTCCCGCAAATTCCAAATATGGCAATGTCTCTATTGCTTGACTTTATCCTAGGTCTCCTTATGCTTCAGGAGACACAGCAACTGAACGAAGAGTGTTTGTGATGTTACTAACAACAAATGGTCATGGCATATCAGGATGTCCGTTATCACGTGATAGAATCCCTTTTGCTAGCCCTATCTGGCCTAGCCTGATCCCGTGCCGCCAGCTTGCTTCACCTCTTCTTGCAACATCATCTCTTCATCGCTACATCTAGAGGACGCTTCTTGATCCATCCTCGTGTCTATCTAACCTCATTCTTCGTTCCCATCTTTTGTGCAGCTGCAAAGCCAAATAGCTGCTGCTCGCTTGTTTCTTCAGTACTTGGTGGTGATTCCAGCTGTGACGAGTCCCTTTTGGGCTATTACCCCGTGGCGGTAACTCAGCAGCCTCCGTCTTGGGAGACAACGCTTTTTTTTGCGGAGGAGTTGCACGTCTGGATTTTTGGCAGTTGCTCAAGACTTTAGTCTGCTCTAATATTTCATCATCTTATCCCCAACTGCCCTATTGGCAGCCTTCGAGCACGTCCGGATTCTGAGTTCTCACTACCATCACCATCCAGCATCACTTCCTCTTCGCTTCATCGTACCCTCCTACCTTAGCACCGCTTCATCTTGGTGAAGCTTCCTGCTCCAACAGCCAACGCCCGTGATAACCCAGCCTCTTCACATCTTCCTCGTCGACTGTCCTTCCTCCACCAGCCTTTGCTCACTTCACTGTGCACGAACACCAATTTTCCTAGTCATTCCAAGCACCAGATTCCCTTCCCAGTCGATCGCCTGCACCAGCAAGTTTTATTGGGAACTCCTGGTGTACATAGTCGGTCAGTTCAGGCAGAACAAAGAAAGAAAAGAAAAAGAAAGCTATTCTCTTGACACTTCGCCTTCTTGCGTAAGTGAAGCCAGACTGCACTTTTGACAAAATGTCTGCTTCTCCATCCGCACTGCAATCGACCAAGCGTCCCTTGGAGGACCCTTCTTCGCCGTCCGGACCAAATGATCAGCCAGAAGCCAAACGTCCTGCCTTGGACAAAGTAGTAAAGGGAGACGAGTCGGAGGCCTATACGGATGCCAAGGCTGAGCCTTCCGCTGCACCAATTGCCACCGCTGATGGCCAGGGCGACACTGTTGTCCCTGATGCTCCAAATGGTAAGGGTGCATCCACGGAGACGCAGCCAATTCAGTCAACCGCGTCTCATGGCGAGCGCGCTACTTCTCAGCCCGAACAGCAGCGCCCACAAGATGAATCCAGCTGGATTCACATTCGCGCTGTAATCTCCAGCCAGGAAGCTGCCACAGTTATTGGCAAGGGTGGAGAAAACGTATCTCAGATTCGTCGTTTGTCTGGAGCCAAGTGCACTGTCAGCGACTACTCCCGTGGTGCAGTTGAACGTATTTTGACCGTGAGCGGCCCACAGGATGCCGTTGCCAAGGTTGGTTTTTGATGTATCATTCGCTGTGTGAAAGGTTGCTAATCTTAAGTAGGCGTTTGGTTTGATCATTCGTACATTGAACAATGAACCTCTTGATGCCCCCTCTACCGCCCAATCCAAGACATACCCTTTGCGTTTGCTGATCCCCCATCTCCTTATTGGCTCCATCATTGGCAAGGGTGGTTCCCGCATTCGCGAGATTCAGGAGGCGTCTGGCGCCCGCCTGAATGCATCCGATTCGTGCCTTCCCTTGTCCTCTGAGCGGTCACTTGTAATCCTCGGCGTTGCCGATTCTGTCCACATCGCTACCTACTACGTCGCCGTAACCCTCGTTGAGCAGCTCACTGAGCGCTTTGGAGGTCCTGCAGCCTCGGCTTATGCCACTCGCAGCGGTGGCCCTGCTGGTGCAGTGCCTGGCGGTATGCAGGTTGTTCCGTATGTTCCACAGCCCGCTGGTGGCCAATATGGCCATCCAGAACATTTCAAGAGACACCATCCCCACCCCAATCGCGCTGCTGCAGGCGCTTATGGGGTCCCTTACCTTCACGGTCAGCCTGCTCCCGCACCTGTGGCCCAGCCGGCTTTGCATTATGGAGCTGCTCCCCATGCCCCTTATGCAGGAGCTGGCCCCCATCAGCCTGCTCCATACGGCGCGCCGCAGCCCGCTCAGGCACGCGGCGCCCCTACCCCTGCCACACCCGTTGGAGGTGTTATGCCTGGTCAGCCATTGACTCAGCAGATTTACATTCCCAATGACATGGTCGGTGCCATCATCGGAAAGGGTGGTGCCAAGATCAATGAGATCCGACACCTCAGTGGCAGTGTGATCAAGATCAATGAGCCCCAAGAGAACAGCAATGAGCGCTTGGTGACTATTACCGGAACCCAGGAATGCAACCAAATGGCTCTGTACATGCTTTACTCGCGACTTGGTTAGTACTCCCTTTAAGCACTTTGACAGTCCACATAGGTGCTAACCGGACCATGGCTACACAGAAAGCGAAAAACACCGCATTTAAGAAGACTAAGTTTCAATTCCCTGTGTCCTGGAGCAAGCCGATCATCTATGTCCCATGCAAAAGTCTGCTATGTTCCTTGGAGGCTTTGATGTTTCTCTCGGGTATATTCTGCGTTGTACTTTACTTTTCAAGGCGCTGTGTTTCCCTCTGCGTATCACTCAAGTACTCATAGTAATCCATGTGTTCTTCTATTTTGCTCCCTGCGCTCGTCCACTCCTACAATCTAATGCAACATCTTGCTTCACGAGGGATCAGATCTTCTTGAAGCTGACATGTTTCATGCCCAGTCCCTCCACAGCAGGAAGCATCTTCTCTCGAATCGGCTTGATGGACTCCTCAAACTCCTTGGTCTCCCTAGCCGCCATGTGGGCATCCACACTCTCCCATCCCACCGCAAGAAGATAGACAAACGCCTCCCCAGAAGGGCTCTTCGGGTGCTGGAATGTCCCGGGCCGGTGAACCTGCGCCATGGCCCAGGAGTTGGCCCGCGATTTCTCGTCCAGCTTCTCTGTCAGCGCCACGCGGAGGTTGATCAAATCCGAATTGAGCTTCTTGTGCTCCTCGGGATTCAGCGAGCTGGGGAAAGTCATCGTCGCCAGCTCCGTGACCGGGTTCGTGGTAAAAGTCTCCGTTTCAGATGGGGATGGGGTAAGCGTTGTGTAGAACGAGAGGACCTTCGAGTCTGGCTCGAGGTATGGGGTGAGGAGATCTGCTTGGCATTTGGCGTGGGAGTCTTCCCAGACTATTTCACACGAAAGGATTAGACAATCTCGACAATCTCTTGATAGATACAAGCTGGTATTTTGGTTTCTTTAAGGACTCACCGACTGCCCACACAACGACATTCTCGTCCTCTACTGTCCTCCCCCACGCAGAGCTCTGGTGTCCGCTTTGTTGCTTTGTGGCGGAGAATATCTTACATAGGGATGCGCCTTCCTCGTTTGAGTGGTCTTCTGGTTTTACGGAAGATTTCAATTTGAATATGACGAACTCGGTGACTGGGACGACCATTTTGTTCTCTTGATGGGTTTGAACGCGGTATATGAAGTGTAGGTTGGATATCGGAGGGGGGTGAGTAGAGCGTGCAAGTCTGTCAAGGATGTTTGTCCAGTCTAGTCTTTGAGCTTATGATTATCGTTGTAAGGAAACGATAAGAGAAGTTCGATTGAATGGGGAGTACCTCGAGGGAAAATGACTAAGTTGTTTTGAAAAGTGCAGTTGATGTCACTGGTGGGGATGATGTCAGTCCCTCTTATAAGACACAACATTGGGTACAGTGGAGAACTACAATGAAAACACACAAGCAGTAAGAGGTAGATATCCTCAGAGTTACCACGCAATAATTTATTGCAAGACAAGTTTCAACCTTTAACTTGGTACTAAAGATACCAGCAACTTAACCAAACCATACCTGAACCTATGTACAGACAATGACTGTTGGCATTGCTCAAATCACGCCATGACACCTTGTTTTGCAGCTCAACAAACATAGAAGATAGGACTAAGATACCCCAGTCCTACAAATCATCCACACCCCGGACCTTGGATTTCTTTGCTTCAATCACCTTCTTCAAGTTGCCAATGATATGTTGCCTACGCGACATTTTGCTCTTCCATTGTGCCGTCTTTTCCTTGGTGGCCAGTTCGCCAACGCCTTCGATATTCCGAAGCCGGCTAGCCTTGGCTGACCCGTTGACGCTCGATCGGAATCTGCCTGCGGAGTCTGGAGTGTGATATGCACTGAGAGGCCCGTCGATAGACCCCCGAGAACCAGGTGTCGTAGGAAATCTTGCCAATGCCTTTTTCGGTGTAGCAAATGGGGATCCTTCCCGGCTGGCCGGAGAACCTGTTGTATCGATACCGAGCTTTTTCAATTGAATTTCCAGAACATCAATATCGCTGCTCTTGCTCTCGGCCATGTTCATCATAGTTGCGATTGTAGATGTCACAGCTTCCACAGTGGGGCGCTTCGTTGGCTGGCGGCTGCTGTCTGGCCGAGGGGCCTCTGCGATCTTAGCCCGCAATATTGATACTGCAGATTCCAAGTCCGCCAGACTCGCTTGCAGGTTTGTAAACGCAGAGCGGAGGTCTTGCTGGAGGTTCGCTTGCTCCGCGGAAAGAGGTGCAGAAAGGATCGCGGCCGTGTCAGTATGAGCGTCAAGAGTCTTTCGAATGCTTGCACACTGGCCTCTGAGCGTGAGAATGTCTTTGCTCAGTAATTCCCGGCAGGCCTCAAGCTTCTCCTCCACACGCTGCACCCGCTGCTCTTGGAGAGAATTGGCAAGCATAAGCACAGCATCGTCGAGCTTTTCGATTTCGCCAAGAAGTACCTCCTCGTCTAAAACTTCAGCTGCGTGATCAGTCTTCAAGGTTTGTATCCATCTCTCAGAGTCTCGTGGCGATTGTTGATATAGAAGGAAGGACGACAGGGCCCGAGAGTTGATGCCTAGCGTATCAATCATTGAGTTGATGTCACGGTATAACCTCTCAATTTGACCGGGAATTCCTGGCTTTGTGGTTTGACCCATATAGTCCTGGTGCGGCAGGAAGGGGTCAAGTGTTGGAACAGGCTCGAGTGGTCGGGCAAGATCCGCGCGAAGTCTCTCATCTTCGTCATCGTCGGAAAGGGACAATGCTTCTTCTTCCTCTCTTTGTGCTTGAATCTTCAAGCGGGCCTGCTGTTCACGGGCTGCACGGTCAGATTCCTGTCGGAGATGTTGATCACCCAGAGCTGCCTCGGTCAAAGCAGCCTTGCGGGCAGCAAGTGTGCTACCCGGAATTTGCGGAGCACTGGCCGATTTGTGGATTTGTGGCTTCAGCAGGGTTTTCGGGATGCTGCCTCGAACTGGACTAGGCGATCTCGGGGGTTCACGGTCGACATGAGTTTTCGGTGGGAACATGGGTTTAGCAATCTCCCCAAACAACTGACGCGGCGGTTGTTGCTGTCCGGGCCTGGAAATGCGAGAGAACAACCCTCCGGCGGGACTTTGTTCGGAGATGCCAGTTCCAAAAGAACTCTCTGGTGAGATCTTCGGTGTCTGGCCAGTGGTTTCGGGCTCTTCGTCTTCTTCGTCAATTTCATGGGTGATTTCCTCTCCGCTATCAGCGAAGTCAGACTCATCACCCCCCTCACTCGGCTCTTTTTCGGACTCATCCACGTCTGATTCTTCAGGCAGTGGACCAGCCTCCTCGTCAGATGCAGCAGGTGACTCAGGGGCTGCTGGTTCAGGAGGCAATGGAGCTTCGTCTGCAGCAGGCTTTCCTGCTTTGCCTGTGATCCCGCTCGTGAAATCAGGTGGGAGCCGTGCTTCCAGTTTGACATCTTCGACCGAGCTCTTAGAGACGTTGGAAGATGCAGAGGTATCGCCTGGGCCATACGCGGCCCTGCTTGTTGGGTCAGGAGGGAGAGGCGGTTCGGCGATAGAGATTTTCTCCGCTTTGGGCGTTAAGCTAGCGACAGTTGTCTTTTCCGATTGTGGGGATAGGGGACTGGTTATCTGTTTCTCCGCAGCGGCGTTTCTGAACAAGGAGAAGGGAGACTTGTTGGTTTGTGTCGCTGGCTGAGGTTGCGTCTGAGAACCGAATATCGATGTTGTTTTTGAGGTATCGATTTTAGAGGGCGCGCCAAACACCGATGTTGGAGGCTCTTTGGCTGCTGGTTTCTCGGGTTGGGTCACTACAGGCTGATCTTCGGTGTCGTCCATGGATTCTGTTGGCGGACTGGTTTTATCAGGTGTGGAGATCATATCGTCCAGGGACGTGCCAAAGGAAAATAACCCAGATGCCTTGTCAGGCCTTGGACCGTCATTGACAGCAGTGCCGTCGCCCTTAAAAGTGAAACCAAGTACGAAGCTGCTTGAGGCGCCAAAGCCACCCTTAGATTCGTCCGCCTTCTGAGGTGTGAAGGCTGTGTCGGTCTGAGCCTGGGTGCCGAAAATCGATGGGCCTGAAGGCTTCGCAAAAGGACTCTCGGTTGACACCTTGCCAAAAGGTGATTCAGTGACAGGTTTTCCGAAAGGAGATTCGCCGGCGGCTTTCGCAAAGGGAGATTCTGTTGCCGGTTTGGGTGCCGCAAAGCTGGAGAATCCTCCTGCATTCGCAAACGAGCCAAATCCTCCCGCTGAGGTAGCGCTGGGCGTACCGAAAGAGAGCGGTTTACCTGGTGTGGACGGTTGCCCAAAGCTGGGCGCAGCACTCGCTCCAAAGCCCGACTGGCCAAATTGGGGCGTTGCGCGCCCCAGAGTACTAGGCGCGCCGAATGAAGGTTTAATCTGGGATGGGGATCCAAATGATGGGCCACTGGGAGCCGATGGCGTTCCAAAGGCAGGTTGTCGGCTACCTAGAGCTGAGGGGCTGCCAAACGCTGGGGCAGCAGAAGGTTTGCCAAACGGCGACGACCCCATTGCCGAAGGGCTGCCAAAGGCCGACTGTCCAAATGCAGGCTGTCCGAACGCAGGTCGCGTGGTGGGCTGCGCTGGTTCTGGTGCTTGTGCTTGCGGTTGCGGTTGCGGTGTCGGTTGTTGCGGGCTTACCGAGACCAGACCATGGTAGGGCAGTTTCTGGCGAATAGACTCTGAATATATGATCCACCAAGAGCACAGTATGCCTTCGTTGTTCAAGAGAAAGAGATTGGGCAGAGGCGTGGAACTTTCCGCAATGTCTTCGCCTTGGATTGGGGAAACCACGGGTTCGGTGCTAGAGAGGTCAACCCCTAATCCAATTACTGAAGTATCACTAGCGGCCTCGGTTAAAGGGAGTGATGCTCTCTTTGTGTCGTCATTGACCTCTGTTGTTGTAAAGAGACCCACGGTGCCTTTGGCAGCGTCATCGCTAGCTAGTGGTTGATCGGACCGGGTGATAAGACCTACATCTGTAGATGCTGTTGAAGATACGATTAGGATGTCTTTCAAGTGCGGCTTGTAGTCCCTTAGACGCGCAATAAACTGGTAGGCTGGGGCGCGGTTGACACCAAATGGCATGCACAGTTCCGGCATCTTCTGGACCAGGAAAGGTGCGCCTTTCCTTCTGGTGATGATATAGTACGAAGACGGAGGCGTCTGGCCCATATCATCTTCAGTCGCATTTGGTGTATATACCATCAAGAATATGTCATTTTCAAGCCAGGCAATGGACGACACTATTCGAGCTTAGTGACGAAACGTACAAAGTGTAAAAGTGCCCAACGTACCATGACAATCGCCTTCCAGATCAGAAGGGCGGGGTATTACGTCCTTTTGGGTGCCGTCAGGAGTTAGTTGAACTGCTGTTCCATCTGCAAGACCAGCCACAAGCTGTTTCCCTTTGTTACTCCAGCATACGGAGCTTACTCCGGTCCTGAGTACCTGACCGCTAGGTCCCCGGATTAGATTCGCTCCTTTCAAATCGGCAATTAAAAGCTCGCCATTTGCTGTGACTAGTGCGACTAGAGATGAAAGGATATCTTCTGACGGTGTAGGATTGGGTGCCATGGCGCGTAGGGTCGTGCTGTTCATTGGGATGGCCAAGGCAGGCTGCGGATTTCCCGACAGCAGGGTCGCAGTCTGGTAGACCGCAAGTTCCGCGCCATTTTCAGTCGCTAAGACTAAGGCATTGTCGCCTGAGGCGAAAGCCACATGTGTAGGTCGCGCAGGAAGGGGTAGAGTCGCTTGTGGTTCGAAGGGTTTAGTCTTGACTTTGCTTTCCCCGGTCGTTGCGCCAATTGCCTTTCGCACTGCGTCCGACGACGCGATAACAAGCGAGTTCGGGGCAGCACCGGCCACTATTCCTTTGGTCGGCGCGACAGCCAGAAGGGAGCTTGTAGGAGCTGGAAGGGCATCTTCAGGCCAGGGGGTAGGAAGGAACCGGACATTGCTATCACCGGAAACACCTTTGAAACCGACCTCCTGGTTCTTGTATCAGCAATCGACGACGACAAGGACCATTCATAACGACGATGAGAAGGTAACGTACATCAGCAATAACATCCGGGAGCTCGGGTCCCAACTCAGCGGCAGGACCTCCAGCAGCGGGGTTGGAAGCCCCGAAATTGAAAGCCATTCTGAGGCTCTCGAGGTCAGACGAAATCGATCGAGGACGGTCGCCTAAAGATAGACTGAACTTTGGTGCATGGGGAGAAGGCGGGCTATGCGGTGGAGGTGGAAACGAGCGACGCTGGAGTGCTTGGGGACTCCGGTTGAACAGCTTCCAAGTGCGCGCAAAAATCTTGGATATCCCCTCAAAGGAAGGGAGAGTATCAAGAGTGGAAGATTAGCCAGGCGGCCAGATTGAGTTAGTCGGACAACAGTTGGTCGGGTTTCAACAATAGAACAATCTCCTAAGTTGTCCGACGAGCAAAAGTGAGGCCTCGAGCAATAATCATCATAATTTCCGGCGGAACAAAAACAGCGGAAGCTCTGGGCGCGTTGCAGGCCTTAATGCCTCAGGCATAAGCGATTAGGCGGCGGGAGCTTCGTCACTCCAGCAGTTCCAGCTCCTCCGCCGCCCATCACCGACTACCTAGCTCCTCAAGCTCCCCGTATTTTCTTCCATTGATTCATTTACCAGTTTCGCAACGACTACTGATCTTCAAGACCACTTATCATCACACGAATTTTGCGTCGCTCGTCCCCTATCTTGCCTATCCTTACCTATCCCTCTCGGCGCCCGTCAATATGGCAGGCTTCGACTTCTCCAACTACAATCGCAACGCGGCTCTGCACGCCAAAGGTGTGCCTCTCCCGAAAGCGACAAGTACTGGTACAACAATCGTGGGTTGTATCTTCGATAATGGCGTTGTGGTAGGTGATGATGGAATCCACCGAATAATGCTAGTGATGATGGACTGTCCGGAAGCTCACTCAATTTTACCCTCATAACAGATCGCCGCAGATACCAGAGCTACGAGTGGCCCTATAGTCGCAGACAAGGTATGTTACATATATATAAGCTCCTAGAAGACGTGTGAATGCTAATCATTCCGATCGTACATAGAACTGCGAGAAACTTCACTACATCGCCCCCAAGATCTGGTGTGCTGGAGCCGGTACAGCTGCAGACACCGAATTCACAACCGCCCTGATTAGCTCCAACGTCGAACTACACTCTCTGTCGACGGGCCGGCCCCCGCGAGTGATCACCTGCATGACCATGTTGAAGCAGCACCTCTTCAGATACCAGGGACACATCGGCGCCTATCTGGTCGTCGCGGGCGTTGACCCGACAGGCGTCGGTCTTTTCACCGTCCACGCCCACGGTTCAACCGACAAACTCCCCTACGTCACCATGGGCTCTGGCTCTCTGGCCGCCATGTCTGTTTTCGAGTCGATGTGGAAACCGCACCTGAACCGTGAAGAGGCTATCGCTTTGTGTTCGGAAGCTATCAAAGCCGGTATCTTCAACGACTTGGGCTCCGGCAGCAACGTTGACGTGTGCGTCATCCAGAAGGATAAGCCCACGCAGCTACTGCGTAACTACATGAGGCCCAACGAGCGTGGTGAGAAAGAGCGCAACTACCGCTTTCCTAGGGGCACAACGGCCTATCTGAACGAGAAGATCATCACCAAACAGGACATGAGAAAATATGTGACTGTGGAGGATGTCTCTGGGGATCCAAACCTCATGGAGGTAGATTCGTGATTGAACCGAGTGTAGAAAGAGCTTAAAGACGATCTATCTTTATTGTCTGTTGTTTCTTGTGACGCATCAAGAATCTAATTGAAGGATCAATTGCATGTCTTAAATATCATCGTATTGAGGAAGACTAAACTCAGCAATATCGTCATGAGAGATAGTAAAGTGCGCAGCGCGTAGTCAAATGCAGGAGAATATTCTTCCAGAAATTGCTTCGGACATCAATGCTGATTATACAGTGTGATCACGCCTCTGCAATTTGACATAACGTCTCTATAATGCTGAGTCAAGGTAACTATATACAAAGAATAGGATATTGCCTGTTTCCCACGCAATGACTGCACATCAAGTCATCTGTCCTCAGATCGAGTCTGATCGCTTCCCGCTTTCCCCCACGCGCGGCGGCTCCATGAGGGCTTGCACCATTTCCGGTGTCTCGATTTCTTTCACGCGGTCAAGAATGTACGCATACTGAGTCGGCGCAACGTTCAACCCTGCTCTTCGGAAACGCAACACACCAGCGTGATACATGGCGCGCACAAGTGACGGTTTCACGTGCGCGTTGTGCTTCATCAGGAAATCATAAAGCCAGTGGACCAGCGAATAGGCACGGCGCGGGCTGATGTTCCTCGAACATGCGAGAGAAACAGCAAAGAGGTGGAGCATCTCTACGGCCAAATGAGGGTCTGGACAGAGCGCGGTTCTTGGCTCTGGGTAGTAGCGCACCAGAGCTTTTTCCGAGGGGTCTGGGACACGCGGCCAAAGGCTCGATATCGCAATTTTGAGGGGAGTGTGGCAACGAAATAGACGGATCAGTGTCCAGATTCTTTGAACGTCCCCGTCTCTGGCGATCTCGATGGCATGATTCACGAACGAAGGGTCGGTGACATCGATCTGCCGTGCCATCTTCTCATAGACGGAGAAGAAATGGGTGTTTGACGCGTTGTAAGCATGGATATCTGAGAACATCTCTGCGAAAGACACTTTTGTCGTCTCGAGTTTCGCCAATGTTCGTCTTTGAGCTCGCGTCGTGCGTCGCTTTGCAGCCTTCAATTCTACGACTGACATCAGCAGGCCGTTAGATGGTATGCCGAGGGTGTGGATTTCCTGCATCAAGCTGCTTAAGAGGTCCTCGTAACCGCCCTTGTCGAGAGTAGATTCGTAAATTGTGCAGAGATCGGTTATCGGTGAGTCAGTCACCCTCTGGTCTCTTCTCCAAAGCGGACCCTGGGGGAGATATTTGCTAAGAGCTCGCAACATCCAAATGCGCAAGATGATTTGGTGCCTCAATGATAGTGTCGAGTTCGTTTCTTGCGGAGATCCCAATGGCTCGGCAGTATGCTGCGTGCGAATGTCGGCCCATATCTGTGACGAGACAATATTTGTAATGTTGTCAAGCTCAGACAAGCGTCGCTGCCACTCAAGCAAGTAGCCCATCTTCGTAGACACCATATACTCGGTTGTGCGGATAATAATTTCAGATGTGGCAGTGGGATGGAAATAGCCCAGAAGCTCCCCGATAAAATGCCGATTGCTGCGATGTCGTGATTCCGCCGAAACTTTTAGCCAGCATGCGATCAGAGTAGGCACCCATCGACAATCAGCTGAACTAGGATCCCGGGTTGCTAGAATCATGTCCTTCGCCAGTATGAAGTCCTCATAAGTTTTTCTTTCGCAAAGGATGCTTAGCCATGCATCGACTATATCCTTGCTAAGATCCTTGTGTCGATAGATATCACAACGTCCGATGGCGTCCCACATCTCCCGATGAAACCTGACCAGGAACCTGGAGTTCCGTGCTGTGTATTCATGTGATCGTTTCAATTTGAAGTTTGGTATAGTCTTTATGATATCTTGAAGCTCACTGGGATGTAAGAGCCCTAGCTCCAAAGATCGAATGACGGCGTCGAACACCGGCTGTTTCCTGAAAATCGCCGCTGTTGATAAGGTATGCTTAAGAGCGCACAGATAATTTCCAGCCCCTCTAGTATTAAGATACGGATCATCGAGAAATTCGACAATCTTCTTCATGGCGCTCTCGTCGTTGGCTGATCGCGGCAGCAGGTGTCTGAGTATCAGGCGGCTGCAAGTAGGCTCCCGCTGGAGATCGAAATTGAGTTGGCGCACGAATATTCCGATAGCTGTGACCGATGGACGCGATTTCAAAAATTCTTCTAGAGCTTGCTCACGAGAAATTTTGTGTGACGCATCCGGGAACCCACGGATACCATCCAATGTGTCGAACTCCATCGGGGCGATGTTTTCGCTGTAGAACGGCAAAGGAGGCTCCGGAGGACTCAATGGAAAGGGAGGCGAGTCTTTAGTGTAGTTAGAAATACCACGATCCATTCTTCCCATGGATTGGCTCAGTAGTAGATTCTTACCATGCGCCTCCGGGTGAACATTTCGTTCCTCCCGGTCCGTCCATTTCATGTGCTCCCGGCCATTTCGTCCGAACAAACACGCAATATCTTCTAGAGGTCCGGAACCGGCTATACCGGCCAATGCAGTATTTCGTCGCTTGGCTAGACGTCTTCTTGCTTCCAAGGGCCCTGGCACTCGACTTTCGTAGCGTCGTTGGCTGGTTGCGAATCGTCGGAAGGTCGATGCGAGCAGTTCTTCGCTAATCCACACGTGGTCAATGAGATGTGTGGAAGACGGGTGTAGTGCATGCCGATAGGCATGTCTACCGAGAGACATGGGGCAACAGGGGCATTCGAGTGCAATTGAACTGTGTCGACCTCGTAGAGACGTTAGCATAAATGAAGCTTGCGGAGAGTTCGGTCTTCGAGTTTCGAGTGGATGACTAAGCGGCTGCCCCAACCACAGTTTGGGCTTCAGGTCTGGGCTTAAGGTACCTTACTGAAGCATGTCAAAGGCAGCCCGTTGATATGATCTGTCACTAAATGATGACGGCCGATGGCCATTTCTACTCCCCTTGAGCCAGTATTCAACAAATCTCCCAAGCAAAGTGAAATGGTTTGGCCTGACGATAGTTCAACCTAGACTACTACAGTCACTCGAGGCAGATTACATTATTGTTCAATGCAATATTGCGATTCCATTCTAGACATCTAAGGAGTATATAACTAAAACATGAAATCAAGAAGGAGAACCCCTGCACGCCTTCCTGTAATGCATGGAATATTGTGAAGCCCGGTGGTATCTTATGCAATGCAGCCAAAAACTGCGTCTTCGTGGAGACGCCCCGAAAGACAGCAGCGGGAAGCAAAAAGGAGAGTGGAAGTGATGACGAGACTTTCAGGAGGCTTGTGCCCCAGGGCATGGTTTCCTCCCTGTCACGACATAGAAGTCCATGTAGCTATGGACATCGCGATTTTGAATGCTTTTTCGCACATCAACCAGAAAAACTTCAATCTCCGGCTTCGACCACCCCAGTGCAAGAAGAGGTTTATAGGACCATCCTG